TAGGCAGTAAAGAACTTATAGACAGTAAAGACTTATCAAATCCGTTGATGGCTGTGGGTTTGCCAAAAATCCAGTATACTCCAAGTATACATAAATGGTTTGTTAAAACTCATTTTGATTATGAAATCGAAATTGAGGATGGATATAATAATATTAATCCTTGGTCTGTTTTAAAACAATATTATCCTGAGGATTGGTATTTTTCTCCCACTGATCTTTCAAAACCTCAAGAATATTATCATAATATTCTTTTGGATACAGGATCTGTAAAAATTAAACATAATTATGATTCAAAAAATAAATCTGTTATTTTATATTCTTCACTTAAAATCCAACGGATTCTTCATCCCAAGGAACTGGCCTAAAACCCTCTCTTTCTACCCCTGTTCTACAATTTAAAGTCAACATCATTCTCACTATCCTCCAACGAAGATAGTAATGATGAAGCTTTTGAATCTATTATAGTCAAAAGTAAAACTGATAAGGCAAAAGTAAAACTGGTGTTTATCATTGCACTTGATAATCTATTTTGACACATCCTTTCGTACTGATTGTAAGGTGCCTAACTGGTTTAAAAAATGGTGGGAAACTAGGGGAATTTCCAATGAAATTATCCCTCCTCAAATCCAGGCATTATATCAGTATTTTAAGGCCCATTATAAACCCAATCCTGCAGAAGCCCATATTCCTTCCCTTATGTACTATTGTATGGCCTTCTTCACGCCCTGGGTATATCAATGGTATTTGGACATTTGACACTCAGGACACTCAGTATGCCGTAGGAACGTACCAGATTCCTATGTTGGTAAAAAGACATAAGATTAAATGGTGGGGATCTTTCAAGAACTCTACCACGGAACTAAAAATTGATCTCTGGATACGTGATAAATTAAAACAGGTTTCTCCATTAACCTATGCAACAACTCTTGCACTAAAAGATCAACCGACTTTCGGAATCCAAAAGGCACAATGCCAAGCAAGGTTAGCTGCTGCTAAAACTCCAGATGAGTATAGACGAATCTGTCAAGAAATGCTTCAGCATCTTTCAACAGATTCTGATTCTCCAGTAAAACCCTCATCAAGTAAAAAGCAGGCAGACTGTTCCAGTAGTTCCACATAAAATATCTAAATCAAGCAACAGAAGTGGGCTGACATGCTTCCTCCTCCTCATCAACATCATTCCATTATCCTCTGACTTAATTTCTGAGGACAAAATCGGTCCGTTCCATGGGGGGGCTCTCACTTTGGTGACCTTGTGAGCGAAGCAGAAGGCTCTTACCCCAGGTTACCCTATCGAGCGAATGCGGTCTGTGGGCCAAGGGCCCTAAATGGGACGTCACTTAGTTATTGCGCGTCAGCCCTTTAATGGGGTAGGTTGGGCGTGTCGTGGAGGCACAAAAATCGTAAAGCCCGTAATACATGAAATTAAGTGGTACCGCAAGTTGTCAACGATCCTGAGGTGCGGGTAACCATCCCCTCTCGCTTAGAACCTTTCGGACACCTAAAGCAGCCGATTTGCGGATTTGTTGGATTAAAAGAACTTTTAGATGATAATGAACCCGTCATCCTCGTTCATCCTCGTATCATCATTGGATCAGGCAGGGCATAAAAAACACGTGTCAACATTATTACACCAAAGTTAGGCTCTAGTATGGCCAGAGCATGCTACATGCTGGAATTTCAGATTCCATCTCAACATGTGCTTTCATCAATGTGAGAAACTTAGGTGTTCTCCATGCTTCCTTGAGCTCTATGGTTGAGTGGTAGCGAATCCGTATCAAGTATGGCCAGGGCATACCATATGCTGGAATTTTAGATTCCATCTCAACATGTGGTTCTATTAATGTGAGAAACTTAGGTGTTCTCCATGCTTCCTTGAGATCTATGGTTGAGTGAGTGGTAGCGATTTCCGTATCATTCCCCCTTTTCCTCGAAAAGGATTCGTCCCTCGAATCTTTAATTAGAAGTTGAGGTATCCATGCTCTCTTGGATCTCATGGTTTGCTCCATATTTCTTTGCAATGGACTTCTTGGTAATGAATCCAACGTAGGTAGGACTAATGGATTTTTCATGTTGTTTCCTCCTTGCTCCTTGAGTTTCCATGGATGAGTGATGGGCGATTATTTCTTTGCATGACTTCTTGTAATTGATCCACTAGGTAGGACTAATGGATTTTTCATGTTGTTCTCCTTGCTCCCTTGAGTTCCATGGATGAGTGATGGCGGATTCGTATCATCTCATCTCTCATGGCTTCTTCAACATCAAAAGGCTCACTATCAATAAGATGACAGTATAGAGTTGGTTCTTCACTGGGATCTCTTGTGGCTTCATATAGATCTACCAAACGTCTCAACTTTTTTGGCCTTTGTCTAGGCCTTTCACTTTGTGCTTCATCTTCTACTCCAGGAGATGCACTTGAAATAGGATTATCTATCGTCGGTGTTGTGGTTGGATCCTCCAAATCATGATCATTGTTTTCATCCATGGTGAAAGGATAAAAACTATAATTCTTCTTTTTATCATTGTTCCACTTCCAGATTGCTTCTTCATCGATAATGCATCTCTACCGATGATTGTTTTTCCTGTATCGGGATCAAACATCTTATAACCTTTAGAAAATTCTGAATATCCCACGAACAAGTATTTTTTGCTTTTGTCGTTAAGTTTTCTCCTTTCTTCATCATGTACATGAACATGAGCAATGCTTCCAAAAACACGAAAATGAGAGATATTGGGCTTTCTCCCACTCCATGCTTCTTGGGGTGTCATATCTGAAACACTTATTGTTGGAGATCGGTTCAAGATGTAGACAGTACAATCAACTACTTCTGCCCACAGATCCTTGGGCAAATTCTTGCTTTTCAACATGCTTCTGACCATGTCTAGCACCGTTCTATTCTTTCTTTCAACAACACCATTTTGTTGAGGCAATCTCGGGACTGATAGGAAATGGCGGATTCCATGCTCCTCGCAAAATCTTTTGAATTCATTGGATATAAATTCTCCCCCTCTATCAGATCTTAAGGCTTTGATGTAATAATCGCTTTCTTTCTCAACAAGTGCTTTGAACTTCTTGAAAGCTCTAAAAACTTCTGATTTTTCCTTTAAAAAATAACGTTAAAAGTAGTGGTATTTCACCGTCGCCTTTCGGCTCCCACTTATCCTACACCTCTCAAGTCATTTCATAAAGTCAGACTAGAGTCAAAGGAACCATTCTCATTCATTTAAAGAATGGCGAGCACCAATTCATCAGTAATGTTTATTATGTTCCAAACATGAAAAGCAACATTTTAAGTTTGGGACAACTATTGGAGAAAAATTACCAAGTTCACATGGTGAACCGAAAGTTGTTGCTGTTGAATGAAAAGAAGGACCTGCTAGCAAATGTACCAATGTCAAAGAACAGGATGTTCACTCTCAACATCTAGACAGACGTAGCCAAGTGTTTAAAGTCTTGTGTGAAGGATTCTCATTGGCTTTGGTATCTAAGGTTTTCTTTGAACGAACACTCATTAGACTGAGTGCCTTCTAGTCACTCTTGCTACTTTTATGCAAACTGTCTTTTTCTACCTGAGACAGTTGTGCATCTTAAGCCGGGACTACGTAACCTTTTTCAACAATGTCCCAAACATCTTGGGCACCAAGAATGGCTTTCATTTTGATACAACAATTTTTGTAATTGGTTTTGGTGAGCTGAGGAAAATTGTAGGAGATACCGTTGCTATTCATCTTTTATTTGATAAAATCTCTCAAACACACAAAAGTATGAATTTTTTTTTTGGAATAAAAAAAAAATCTCACACCTCTCATTAATCAGGCTTTTAACGTGGCTCTGATACCACTTTGTTGGACTAATTAGGGCTTTAATTAAATAAAAAAAAATCATAAGCACAACAGTCAATGAAAATTAATATTACTTCTGAAAATACTACACTTTTGTTCTATATTTCACTCATATATGGAATACAAGTTTCTGCCAATATTTATAGAGTTTGAAATAGAATGAACACCACAAATATAATCTTTTGTTTCCTGCCACATGTTCCAACTAAACACTTATTTGCCACAAATTTTCAACCATTTACGTGGATGCATCATGTCCATAGTTTCCCTTTGAATTATTTCGCCAACACATACAAAACAATTATGAGAAAAACATTACCATGTGAATTTGTCCAAACTTCCATATGAGCTTTGTCTTGAATACATGTCTTCTTCTCCTCTTTTATTTTATTTAATTAAGTTTAATTATATTGGAATATAAAAGATAAAATAATTAAACTTAATTCAATAAAATAGAAGAGGAGAAGAAGACACATATCCAAGACAAAGCTCACATGGAAGTTTGGACAAATTCACATGGTAATATTTTTCTCATAATTGTTTTGTATGTGTTGGCAAAATAATTCAACGGGATACTATGGACATGATGCATCCACGTAAATGGTTGAAAATTTGTGGCAAATAAGATGTTTAGTTAGAACATGTGGTAGGAAACAAAAGATTATATTTGTGGTGTGCATTCTATTTCAAGCCCTATAAATATTGGCAGAAACTTGTATTCCATATATGAGTGAAATATAGAATAAAAGTGTAGTATTTTCAGAAGTAATATTAATTTTTATTGAGTGTTGTGCTTATGATTTTTTTTTTTGTTATTTCAAGCCCTATAAATATTGGCAGAAACTTGTATTCCATATATGAGTGAAATATAGAATAAAAGTGTAGTATTTTCAGAAGTAATATTAATTTTCATTGAGTGTTGTGCCTATGATTTTTTTTGTTTAATTAAAGTTCTAATTAGTCCAACAAAGTGGTATTAGAGCCACGTTAAAAGCCTGATTAGTGAGAGGTGTGAGATTTTTTTTTATTCCTCCAAAAAAAAAATTCATACTTTTGAGTGTTTGAGAGATTTTATCAAATAAAAGATGAATAGCAACGGTATCTCCTCCAATTTTCCTCAGCTCACCAAAACCAATTACGAAAATTGGTGTATCAAAATGAAAGACATTTTTGGTGCCCAAGATGTTTGGGACATTGTTGAAAAAGGTTACGTAGTCCCGGCTGAAGATACACAACTGTCTCAGGCAGAAAAAGACAGTTTGCATAAAAGTCGCAAGAGTGACCAGAAGGCACTCAGTCTAATCCTTCAAGGATTGGATAATGTAATGTTTAAGAAGGTGGCAGAAGCTACCACCTCCAAGCAAGCTTGGGACATACTACGAATTTCTCTTCAAGGAGAGGAGAAAGTATAAAAAGTTCGACTTTAAATGTTAATAGGTGAGTCCGAGATGATGAAGATGAAGGAGGCGGAAGCAATTATGGATTACTCCTCATGAGTAAAATCTGTCGTTAATCAAATGCGGCAGTATGGAGAAAAAATTGATGAATCGAGAATCATCGAAAAAATTCTACGATCACTACTATCAAAGTTTGACTACATAGTGGTGGCTATGGAAGAATTGCGAGATATAAGTGCAATGACCATTGACGAAGTTGTTGGTTCATTGCAAGCACGTGAGGAGAGGCTAAACAGACAAAAAAAAGTGTCTGTAGAACAAGTCTTTGCGGCAAAGACTTCGTTCAAAGAAAATGAAAATTGTCAAGATGTGAGTCAATCCGGAAGAGGACGTGGTAGAGGTCGTGGAGGAAGCAAAAGAGGAAGAGGACGTGGCAGAAGTCAACAATTTGGAAGAGGTGACAACAGTGATGGAAATACCCAGTTCACAAGAGGCAGAGGTCGTGGACGAGGAAGAGGAAATTGGAGGCAAAATGATAGACGTGACAAGTCAAATGTTCAATGTTACAATTGCTCCAAATTTGGCCACTACACATTAGAATGTTGGAGTCCGCCTAAGCAAGTAGAGGAAACAGCTAACAACATTCAAGATGAGGATGTAACCGGCACGGTATTACTAACCTGTGAAGGTGAACAAAGTCCAGGAAATAACATATGGTATCTTGACAATGGTGCAAGTAATCATATGTGCGGATATAAGAAAAGATGTGATCTACAATTGTGCAAGCACTCCTGAAGCGGTTGTTCATGTACAGGAAAGTGGGACACCAAAGGAACTAATGGGAGCGTGTGTTAGTGGATCCTTTTGGTAATCACCTGTGAAGCTTATAAAAAGCGTAAGGGACCAACAAAAATGGAACCAAATTCTCCGACGAATTCAACTAATCAAATTAGACTCTCAAATGAGTCAAGCAATTTTATATTGAAAGCCTTGTTTTTATTTTTCTAAGCATTGTCTATTTACGTTTCCTATAATTATAAGCTCTTTTTTCAATACAAGCATTCAATTTACTTTTTAACCTATCAAGCTCTCTTTTATAATTTTCTCTACCAATTTTATTTTAATCGCATAACTGGTGAAGCACTTTTTAACCTATCAAGCTCTCTTTTATAATTTTCTCTACCAATTTTATTTTAATCGCATAACTGGTGAAGCGTTTATCGTGAAACCAAACCCACAGCCTAGAAGTCAGATCGAGCACACTTTATTTTCAGTTGGTGTACTTCACACACCTGGCATGCCCGCAATTGATCCATAAACAAGTTGTTAGCCAAGCGGATTCATTGCTAAGAACCAACAATCTTTAGTGGCACGCCCGGTGGGACATACTTTTGTGCATTCCATCTTTCACTTGAGTTTTGAGAGAACACCATGACTTGAAAAACTCATTCTGTTGTTGAAAAAGAAACTGTTGCTTGGTCTCTGGATTCGGATGCAGGACCTATAGGAGTAGGCCTTAGAAGCCCTGAAAGAGTGGAAGGAGAAATCAACTCTCTTTGTAACACCCACTGGCCAATCCCGGAGAACCAGACGGTGGATGCCACAATCGGTGCTGGAGCACCGTTTTATGTCACTTATTAAAGCTAGATCACAAATCACTTATTAAAGCTAGATCACAAATTAGAAGTGGTTTGATTTTCATAAGGAGGCAAGTAATTAACATTTTTTGTTGTTAAAAAAAATAAAGAAAATAATATTTAAGGAAATTCCTACAAAAATTTTGCAAGAATTTCCCCTAAAATTTAACTTGCCACACAAAGAAAATATACACACTTCCAAGTTTCTCCAAATCCCAAAACTCCAAGTCAACACAACATGCCACAAGCACTTCTAAATATCCATCAATATACTTAGGTTCCATCACAATATTCTAAACACATTCTTTTCAAGGAAGAGATAATCATCATACACCAAAAATATAATAAGATGTTCTTTCCTTAATCTTTTCCTTAACTAATAGATAACTCTGAATAAATTCGAAACTTTATGATATACAACCTCGCCATAACACAATATTTTATATAACATGCATTACATAAATCTCAATCTACTACTACCACAATAGTCACTTCTGCTCTGATGCTACTCTTCTAGTCTTGACAAACATCCTCTGCTCCTAACCTGTGCGTGATAAAAATCAACGCACAAAAATAATATTTCATTCTTAGTTAAGGCTCGTACTAATACAGAATGAACATAAGCAGATTTGATCGTGGCCTATGTACCCCCATCACACAATCGTGGCCTATGAAAGTGCCACCCTCATCACACAATCGTGGCCTATGAAAGCACCACCCCCATCACACAAATAAGCGCGTCCGCCTATTTATAAGGGCTGATAACCCTAGACAGAATGAACATAAGCAGATTTGATCGTGGCCTATGTTAGTGCCACCCTCATCACACAATCGTGGCCTATGAAAGTACCACCCCCATCACACAATTAAGTGCGTCTGCCTATTTATAAGGACTGATAACCCTAGCATATGATTATAGCTTCACATAACAAAATGAATATTATTTCTAGTGTGGTATATTAAGAAATAAATGAGGAATTATTTTAGTGGAGTTAATTTAATTAATTGGTGGAGTGAAATCATAAGTAGAAGAAATTGGTGGAGTTTGAAATCATAAGTAGAAGAGAAATTATGTGAGAATCATTTAGAGCCATTGGATGAGATTACTTTGGACTTGATCTTTAGCCACACATTTGGCATTAAATTAGGAATAAAATTTGACTTTGTCACCTTAAAGTTATCACCACCTAAGTCACACTTTTTCTTTCTTCTCTTCTTTTTTTCCAACGCCATTTCATCTTCTTCCTTCTTCCTTCTTCTTCCTCTTCCTTCATTTTCTTCATTTTCTTACCTCTAAATTACCACCAAGCTACCTAATTAAACCATGGAATAGTACTTAATTCTTAAGAATTAAGTCATAGAAGTTGAGATTGGTGAGTAAAAGCAAAGAGAATTGAAGTTACCATTGAAGCAAGTAAGTGGTGGTTTTTGAGTTTTGTGACTTAATAAGTAGAATTCATGGTTTAGACATGTTACTGATGCATTAAATCATGCTCCATCTATTTCTTTTGTCAATTTTTGCTTTTAATGTTGATTTCTCATACTTTGAAGAGGTTGGAGAAGCATCCTCAAAAGGTAAAGAGAAAGCCAAGGAGTAAGGCTTTCCAAGCTTATTCAAGCTTGTTAATAAGGTTAGTGCAATAATATTCTCTTTCCCCTTTCCTTTCCCCTTTCACTTGTTTTTAAGTTGTTTTTACATGGTTGAGGTTTTTGAAATGTATTTTGGGAACTTTGTATGTTTTGGGTTAAATTGATGAATTTTAATGTTAGATATGTTCTTAAGTGGGATGGACATCCTTTTCGACCCCTTTATACTTCCCATCTATTTCTGACTTCTTCTGAAAGTTGTAGCTCTATTTCTCAGCTTTCCAAAACATATTCTTATGTCTAATTCCAATACTTGTAGCTCAACTTATGATTTAAATACCAAAACTGATTTTGTTATGGTGTCTTACCTGTATATCCAAAACGATTGTCTATTTTGACCACTAAAATGGAAAAATAATGTCTTATGTTCTTCATAAAAGTTATAGCTCTACCTCTTAGCTATCCAACCCATTCTCTTGTGTCCAAGTTGGAGATACATAGCTCAACTTATGGCTGAAACACCCAAACTGACTCTGTTGTATCGGGCCACATGTATCACTGAATTGAGTGCCCATTTTGACCACTATAATGACAAGATTAGGTTCTGAGTTCTTCAATTGAGGTTCTGAGGTTCCTTCATAAAGATTTGTTGCGCCTATGTCTTCATACTTCCTATCGTTCTAAGATTGGTTTATTTGAGTGGTTTGGGGTTAAGTAGGAATTCAATAAAATTGGACTTGGTTCTTACTGAACTCAAGGGTTTGATCTGATGGTCTATGTTCGCTAGCTTTTGGTTTTACTTATCTTACCGATTGATCTTGGACTGTGGTCCCTTCAAATTAGTCCCTTCATAACATTTGTAGAATTTTGTCTTAGCTTTCTAATGACTCTAATTTCATTCAATTTGGAGACCCATAACTCAAGTTATGGTTTAAAAATCCAGCAAAGGTCAAGCTTATGAAAATGTCGAAAATTTCTTGATTTATGTAGTTTTATACTATATTAAATATATATACTATCTTTAAAAGAATGTAGTAATTTTTATAAGTTGTTAGTTGAGAAATTTTGAAATGATGGGTATTAAGTAATGAAGTGTTTTGATTAAGAATTTTGAGTAAGTAATAAAATCCTTTGTGAAAGAATGATTTTGTTGATTTGGGCTCTACTATGCATGATTGAAATGTGGTGTGATGAGATTAAATATGCATAGTAATTTTTCCGGACTAAAATAATACCAAGTCCCGAACTGATGGTACTATTCACAGACCGGTAAATCACTATGACCGACACTAAAAGAATAATCAGACTGTTACACTCTTGCTCAAAATCCCATAGAAGTTGCACTTACCTCTGACGACCTCAATAAACATTCAGGTAAAATGACTTTTGTTTCTGATGACATCATTAACTTTAGTTCTTCTGATGTGAAGGCAATGCTAGAAAAAGAGAGGAACAATAGTTAGATCATAGCCTAATTGCTACAAACCATGAATGTCTTCATGGAGAAGGTCACTCTTCATGGAGAAGGTCACTGGAAAGAAGATTGATGTCGTGGACTGACCCGTCAATCAATCTCCTACTAGCAAGTCTGCCGCTAAGGAGGGGAATGAATCTTCATCCAAGTGTGCCAAAGAACTCGAGGGGGCAACTACCTCGAAATCCCTTAAGGGGCACTGACAGTGGTCATGCTCTTGCTGAAGAGCGGTATCAACCACCACATATGAGAGAGGAGCCGGTGCACCATCCATCAAAGGTGCCACTCTAGATAGGCCGCCCCACTAGCAGGCCTACATTTTTTTCGAGACCACTAGTCATATGACTAACCCAAGTGTCTATGAGGTTGAGGCTTCTCATGATTCTCAGTCATTAACAAGCACAGGAGGAAGCCAAGGAACTAGAGGGGTTGCCTTCAATACAGTTCCCTAGAATACATACACTAATATCACTACGGTTCCTCAAACGACAGGTAATCCTGTTCTTGAGATTCCCCAAGTCAACATGGATGTTTTGAGGGATGCTGAGAACGAGCTGTGTGGGCCCTGGCCTCAGACAAGTTGATCACCCAAAGTTTGTGAAGTCGTATTCAAAAACAATTGACAGAGAGAACCCTTATCCCAAGGGGTACAGAAATTCAGATTTCACATTATTCTTTGAAGAAGATGGACAATCCACCGTGAAGCATATAACAAGATTCACCATCCAATGTGGGGAACTTGTCAATCTGGAGAATTTTGCTAACTATAAGTTGCGACTGTTTTCTAACTCCTTGACAGGTACAGCTTTCACCCAATATTCAACACTTATGAGGAACTCAATCAATTCATGGTATAGGATGGAGCGTCTCTTCCATACCCAATTCTTTAGAGCTAAGCCAGAGGTTTGTATGGCCAAGTTATCCATGCTAACACAAAGAAGTGGAGAGATGGTTAACTCATTTATTGCAAGGTTTAAGAAGCTGAGGAATAGGTGTAAGGTTACTTGAACACACGACCTTTGTAAAAGATGGCTTTAGCAGAGGCGTTGGACTTCAAGCTGAGGAGAAATTCCAAGTGGATTGAAGTTTAGAGGATTTCTATGAAGCTGGCGGCTAAGGTTAAGCCAGAATGTTGGAATAGCTACTAAAAAAGAAGAATCACAGATCCAAAAAAGACAGCTCACCAGGAACTTACTATTCAAGAGCTTCATCAGGAAATAATTATGGCTGACTTGGTGAATTTAGTTCCTTTGTGTGTCCAAACCTTGGAGCTCCAATAAAGACAGCTCCTTAGAAGAAAAATCCCATTTCAGAGACTCAATTTACATTCCTTAGAAGAAGAAATCCATTTCAGAGACTCAATTTACATTTGATGTTTCTAAGACAGAGGAGATATTTGATTTCTTGCTAAAGGAAAAGTTTATATCTCTTCCATTTGGTCATAAGCTGCCGACAATAGAAGAGATGAAGAGCAAGCAATACTTATAAGTACCATGATTCCTAGAACTATAATACTAATAACTGTTGGAGTTTCAGGAATGCTTTATAGGATCGCATTAACAGAGGAGTGTTGAGGTTCCCTGACAAAGAGTAGATGTTGATTGATGAGGATCCTTTCCCATCTGTGGCATCTATCAATGCTATTGAAGTAGATATAAGGAGTATCATTAATCAATTGAAGAAGCTGCAAGTTCATTCGAAGTCCTTGAAGACACCTAAAGAGTCATAAAAATATTGGCAGTAGAAATTTTCAGAGGGAGTTGGATCCGCAAAATAACTAGAGTGTTAATTACTGAAGCTTCAGAGGATCCTAACTCATCTCCTAATAGTTCATCAGATGTTTCTAAAGTCAGTTCAATATCTTCATTAGCCATCGCGCCTTATAAGAGGCCGAGGTGGGAGCCTAAGGTGATAGAGCTCCATGATTAAGAAATCATATTCTAATAAGGAGATAGCAGCAGCTGCAACTGCTGTCTCTAAAGCTTATTTATAGCAAATATTTGACAGGTTAGCTATGAAAGATTTGCAGGAACTTGATGAGGCTGAGGTAATCTTTGAGGAAGAGCTGGTGGATGATTTTAGGGGAGATATCTAGTTGCATGAGCTTAGCCTTACGCCACCAAAGTTGGATGACATTCTTATAGGAGTCCAAGATCCCTTAGAAGAAATTAACTTTAAAACACCTAAGGATCTAAGGTTAACATATGTTAGCAGTCTGTTGAAACTTAAGCTTAAACAAAAGATCACATAAACAAAAGATCACAACTGTTTGTACTCATAAGGTCTTAGAGGAAACACGTATTGGCTATCAAGTAGCAACAGAGAGCCGCCCTAGAGAATTACCAATAATCGTTACCTCAATGAGTACTAGCCCACTAAGTGGGAAATTAATGATCATCAGTAATGAATGCAGTGGGGCTGATCCCACGGCCCCATTAAGAAAGGTCACCTGTTGTAACATCCCTTCCCGGTCCACTCGTTAACCCGAATGAACCGAGCCGAGACGCTACAATCCGGTTGACTCTATGTCCTGTCATGCTGATATCATAATAGTATACTGCATGCTGATATCATAATGTATACTGACTATTATATCATGCTGATGCTGTTTACATTAATACTGTACTTAATATTTACAAGACATGATACTAGTTTCCAAACTGAAATGGGCCCAACTATGTGCCCTGTACATGCCATGATAAGGATAAACAAAATCAAAATATCAAAATGAGTAGCTATCCTGAAGACTGGCTCTTCCAGAGCTGAACTGCAGCAGTTGTAAGCTGACTCTCTACGGTCCAGTCCCAAAACCTATGAGTTAAACAAGTAACTCGCTGCGCAAATAAAACTCAGTGGATATCTCAACTTATAAAGAAACATAGAAGCACATACATATGTAGAAATAAACATGTAAACATATATGGATAAATAACCATGTAAGCACACATATCTGGATACTTCCATTGACGTACTTGCTGCTCATTATACTGTATGATTATGTAATTTGTAGTCAATATAACTGTTTAGCTCCATAAGGTTATAGTGAAACCAAAGAGAAGAGAACTGTATGAAACTGGCTGAATACTATATGACTGGGCTGCTATGGCCATTATATAATCATATTCACTCAACGGCCTGTAGCCGGAGTACCAAACTGTATGGGGTGCAGATTTGCTGTCCTATGTCGCAACATAGCCTTCTCTATGTGGTTTCTACCTAACCTCAATGGAGCATAATATAGGTATGTCAATAGTATAAAACAAAAGCATATTAACTTCTTCATAACTTCATAAACCATATTGTTTACCTGGTTTCACATCATTTGCATGCTTGTATGTTGTTTTGATACATGTTGTCACGTTGTCTTTTTGTTTTAAAATGATTGAAAATGATTGGAGGCGTTGAGCAAAAGGGAATTACAATTGCATAGAAAAAGAGGTCCAAAAAGAGCACCAAAACACAAGTCGCAAGCGCTGCCATGGAAAGTCCGTGAGCGCGAGAAGCACACATGAGGGTCAGTGAGTTTACAGGTTAAGATTCGCGAGCGTGCATGAAATTCACGAGCGCGAGAAGGCACCCTCGCGAGTAGAAGCACCCTCGCGAGTCAGAGAGGTTACAGGCACAATTCGCGAGCGCGACATGAAATTCGCGCGCGCGAGTCGTGTTTCCAGCCTGCGCAGTGTGTACTATTTTCATCATATCTCTCAATTTATAACTCTAATTTAGGTGATTCAAAAACCCATAGAAAGATAACACATAGAGGAACAAATAACTCTTCTAGACCACTTCCTAATTTCATCGTTAAATAGGGTCAAAATCAAGGTGAAGTTACTAGTAAATTTTCCAGCAAAACCTATTTAAGTAAAAACTCAATATTTACTTCATTTATTCATTTCATCCCATGCTTTCTCACCATTTCTAGTCCTCTCACTCAACATTAAGCAACATATTTTCTCATTTTTCTCATTATCAACACACCACATAAGTTCTTATGCAAGGAAATTAGTTAAACGAAAAGAGATATCAAACCTTCACTTCAAAAGCTGGAAATCTTCTTCTTAACTTCCTTTTTCTGCTACCTTTGAGCTCACCTCTCATATACATTTGAGTTCACCTCTCCTATACATAAGAACTCTTATGAATAATCTAAAATATCACTAAATTATGAAATTCAAGAAATTCTACTTATTTGGATAGAATGGAGGTTGAATTTAATGCTTGACTACCATTACAATTGATGAAGATAAAGATGAAGAAGCTGGAGAAAAGAAGATGAGTCAAGGAGATGAAGGAGATGAAGATAAAGATGAAGAAGGGAAAGCGAAATGGAAGTCTCGGGTAGGCTCCAAAATATCATTGATTGTATGTGTAAAATTACGAAATGGTACCTCAATTGTCACTAGGTTACAACTTAATACCTAAGCTTTATAGTTTAGTGCAAGTAAGTCCTAATCCTTATACTTTGATCTTTTTTGCTTCATGCAAATAAATCCACTTCTTATCATTAGTATTATAACTCCCATCCTACCCACTCTGGACTCTACTGGCTCGAACAAGATTTTGGTTCAGCCCAACTCAACTCGACTCTATGCAATGACTCGACTCGGTAGGATGTCACACCTGTAGCAAGCAACACAACAATATAGGCAAGTGACATAGCTGATCCTATAACAATCATGAATAAAGTAAATAGGCCCACTGGTCATTTCTTTCATAAATGTGTAAAGGCCAATTCACTGGTCATTTCTTTCATAAATGTGTAAAGGCCAATTCACGACTTTAAATATATTCATACCAATTCCAAAAAAAAAAAAGGAGGGTCAGTCGGGGTTCATATCTTGAAACTGATGTTAGATCTACTGGTGCTATGAAATAGTAGACGAGTGTCTCTCATGGCTTTCTATCCAAGCCTGTACCTGAGAAGAAGAATGTAGATCACTCAGAAAAAAGGAGTAAATCTCAGGTAATGGGTCCTCAATCTCAGTAATAACAAACAAATAAAATTAGAAGAGGAGCTATCTACAGGTGCGACACAGGGTAGGTGCAATAGAGCATACCTGTGGAGAAGAGATAACTGCAACATTTGAATCTTAAAAAGTGAGAAGAGGAGACTGTCGAAGCAAAAGACATATGAGCCAAGGGAGTCGCCTCAATTAAAAAAATATATCTAGAAACAGCTGATAGAGAGGATGATGAACAAATCACAAATGTCCATTAAGAGAACCTGGCAGAAAGAAAGGGTCCAAAGTTTAGCAGAGCAACTTACTTGAGAAGCGGGTGCATTAGTAAGGGCACCGCCCAAGGAGTTAGCAAATGGAGCAGAGGAACCTGTCACTGAAAAATTAAAGGTACACGATGCATATTCCATCTTAGAGGAATTAGTTCTTTCCATTAGTCAAATTAGAGAAATATTTTCATTGGTGCCAAAATTTGGAAAAATGGTTGCGTGGAATTGGTATCGGAATTTGGTGCCTCTGGAATAATTTTTTATTGGTTTCATGCCTATGATTCTTCAAAACATTCATTAGAGGCAAATCATAGGAACCAAACCATTAATTCCCATTGCACCAAATCACTGCCATCTTAAAAAGTTCCATTTATATATATATATATATATTAAAAAAAAATATATATATATATATAATATATACTATATTAAAAAAAAAAGAAAGAAAGAAAGCAAACCAAAACAGGAGAGGAAAGAAAAAATGCACCCTGTGGTTGGTTGATATATATTAAAAAAAAAAAAGAAAGAAAGAAAGCAAACAAAAAGGAGAGGAAAGGAAAAATGCACCTGTGGTTGGTTGATGCTTTTATATTTTTATTATTATTAAAAAAAGGGAGAGAATGATTCGAAAATAATTTTGCAGTAGCCAAACAAAAGCAAATCGGAAATAGCTTTGAAAGCAATAAATGGCCACGATTTTCATCAATTCAAAGGCCAAAGCTTTATATTTGGCTATCTAAGAAAGTTAGAAAATGGCCATGAAAATGGGATGATGGAGTAGCATATTCGCAGTAGCAATGAAGGAAAGAAAGAAAAGAACAGAAGATGGCAGTCGTGCAAACGAGAAAGAAAAAAAAAAGTGAATCATCATTAGGGTTTCTTATTTATTTGTTATTTTTGAATTTTTAATTTCTAAATGGATTTGGATTTGCAAAATGGGCTAACATATTAAGCATAGCCTATCAAACCAACTTAATATGGGGGCAATTGTTGAACCCGTTCTGTTAGTTTTTGAATTTGGGCTTTATATTTTGGGTTTGGGTTTGGGTTTGGATGTTTAATTAATTGAGACCCAATTAATATAATTTTGAGTTATTAATTGATCAATTATTTTATATTAATTAAATTAATTAATTAAAAGAAAGAGATAAAGAAGATGTGATCTTCAGTTGTGCAAGCATTCCGATTGTTCACATACAGGAAGGTGGGATACCAAAGAAACTAATGGGAACGTGTGTCAATAGATCCTTTTGGTAACCACCTGTGAAGCTTATAAAAGGAGCAAGGGACCAACAAAATAGAATCAAATTCTCTGACGAATTCAACAAATCAAATGAAAATCTCTAACGAGTCAAGCAATTTTATCTTCAAAGCCTTCTTTTCATTTTCCTAAGCACTATCTATTTACATTTCCTGTAATTATAACCCCTTTTTTCAATACAAGCATTCAATTTACTTTTCAAGTAATCAAGCTCTCTTTTAGAGTTTTCTCTGTCAATTTTATTTTAATCACACAACTGGTGAAGCGTTTGCCGTGGAACCAAACCCACAGCCAGAGGTCAGATCGAGCGCACTTTATTTTTCAGTAGGTGTACTTCACACACCTGGCACACTCACAGTTAATTCACAAATCAAGCTGTCAGTCACCGGATTCGTTACTCTTTTCCAAAAAAGAACCACCAGTTTGTTTTTGAAAAATAATTTATTTTTGGAAAATGTTTTCCTTAAAAAATATTTCCTAAATGTCTTGTTTTCCATTATTTGGTTGTAATTTTGAAAATTAGTTAAAACTATTAAAATTTTTAACTATAAAACTATAAAAATAAAAATAATAATAATATAAATTTCGTACTTTAAAATTTTATAGT